GCATTTTCAGCGAATTGGATAACGTGAAGAATGCTGTCCGGGTGAACTTCTTGTTACTATTCGCATTTTTTTACTTAATTGTTAGAACTGACCTTCGAAATTCTTAAGGTCATAGGGCGGTTTGTTGTAAAGGTCGACGTCTCTGGTCATGTAGTGGCTGTTTGGTCTATTTGGTTAATTGTTTCGTCTTATATTATCGTGAATATCTGTTGTAAAGCCGTGGTTCGTTGTTATTAATAAAATTGCAATAAAATGTGAACGATTTTTATGTTAAGTTTCTGTATCATTGCCTTTTGTACTACTAGTAGTACTAGTATACTAGTAGTGCAGCTGTACCACAGAGTTCTATTGGCCAATAGAACGTTTTAGTATACTCTTTAGAGTCACCTCCATAAGGTGACTCCAGTTCGAGTATATTGGTGGGCTTATTTGTACCGAACTTGTCGTTTGATAGTACATTTCGGATGATTCTTCCAACTGTTCACATGCTACTGAAAATGGAGAATCCATGCAGTCATCCCAGATGAGATTTTACGGTTTAGTTGTGTACTCAGTTGGCACCATAGTCGTTTTTTCTGTAGAACATTGCAAATCGTGTTAATGACCTCGATTAAAAAAGGCTTACTCGAACAGGTACTGCCGTTTTAGTCAGACACTAAGGACTGTGGAATATCCTTCCATAGAGAATTGCTGTGGATATTCTTTAAGAGAAAGCAACTTTTATTAGCACAGGGAAAATTCAGTGTCTACTCTCAAATTGACTGAGATGGCAATCCTCACCCGAGTAAGCGCTTTTGAAGGCGACTTTGACACCACTGTAACACACAATTCGAAAGCAAAACGTGAATAGGACAGGAATAAGATCATACGTGATACCAGAAAACTGATCAAACCAATGTATTCATTCAACGTGGCATCCAACTTAATGTGTGGAAACTGGAGTCGCTTGTAAAGAGTTCATTCATATTCTTGGAGATCAGCCTACGCATAATGTCAGACCTGGTTACGTGGCTATTCTGCGCACCAAAACTAATGCGGTATGGGCAACAAGATACGGAAAAATGGAGGACCAAACGAGTCCAAGTCCATCACTACAGATGAGGTTTGTTTTGCTGGTTTCCCGGATTGGCGAATTTAACATACCTTACATGTTCTATTGCTCCTTTTCACGACAGAACTTTTTATATTTCGACCATGTTCTTTCCATTCTATCTAAAACCCACATTTAAAGTAAATTTGTGAGGCAGAATCGTCATTAAATTTTAAAGGAAACTCCAGTCGCCTCCCTTTATCGTTAC